GCCTTTCCTTCTCCTCCTGCTCCTGCTTCTCTTTCTTTGCCTTTTCTCTCGTTTGCTTCTCCTTCTCATCCTGCTCCTCCTTCTCTTGCTTTGCCTTTTCTTTCTTCTGCTTCTCCTTCTCATCCTCTTTCTTTGCACGTTCCTTCTTCTGCTTATCCTTCTGGTCCGGCTCCTTCTCCTTCTTTTCCTTTCCTTTCTTCTGCTTCTCCTTCTTGTCCTGCCCACCCTTCTCTTTCTGTGCCTTTTCTTTCTCCGGATCTTCCTTTGCTCTTTTCTTGGCATCCTTCTGCGACTCTTTCCCTTTCGTAGTCTTCTTCTTGTCCTCGCTGGGGGCCTGGTTGTGTGTTTCAAAAGTAGACCTCCACCAAATCCACCACTTCTTCATGGCTTGGATGGACGCTTTGCTAAGCTTCCTATTTCTAGGGCGGTTCACTCTAGACAGACCAGGCGCTTTCTCAAACACCCCAGGTTTTTCAAACTGCTTCCAATATTCAATGTATGCAGCTAGAGCCTCGCTAGCATCTGATGAGGAGCTTTCTTCTCGTTCCTTCTCTGCTTCTTGCTTCTGCTTCTTCTCTTCCTGCAAATTGTTTTCTTGCAAAACAAAGTATATACATATATATATATACAAAGTACATCAAAGTACAAAGTATATATAGCGCACTACCAACTGCGATAAAGATCCTCTTTGGACACCTGAAGCTGGAAACCAAACATGTACCCCAAAGGTCCTTCAACTGCTTGAGGATTGCATCAGCTTGCTTCAGCCCAGGTCCATCATTCTCAGCCTTGATGTCATGGACAGTGTCGTCCCCAAACGAAATAGACCGCTTGACCTTGGGCTTGCTACTGGATGACTCTTTCACACTCTTTGTTGTCCTTGGCGGTGGGGTCTTGTAACTATCCTCGTCATGCTTGGCTTTCATGGCAGCTTTCCTCAATGACTTCGGATCCGGGCTCCTACCCCGCGGCGCAGACTTCGATCTGTGCCTGTGTGTCGGGGCTGGAGCGGGCGCACTTTCCTTAGGCATATTGGTATACCAACTGGCCGGAAACACCTTGATGGGAACGAATGGCTTCAGTATATGTATATGCACACTTCAAAAGCTGCTGTACACATTTGGCGCTGTACATACTTCAATACCTGCACACCAGCTCTAAACAAGTATCCTAGGAGATGGACCTTTTCCATGGCAACTGACCTGATCTAGTCTGATGTTTTTCATCAAAAGACTAATTCGATGGCTAGCAGCTGAGTTGGTATGAGGGCCTACCTGATCGGAGCCTAGAACCTGCACAGATCTATATGTCCTAGCTCATCCGGGAATCCGGGAATCACAATCAAACACATTCCGGGAATCCGGGAATCACAACCAGATATTTTCCGGGAATCCGGGAATCACAACCAGATATTTTCCGGGAATCCGGGAATCACAACTAGGAATTTTCCGGGAATGCGGGAATAGTGACAAGACATTTCCGAGAAACCGGGAATTCAACCATATCCAACTCTGAAAAAGTTAGCTTAGTTTTCACATCTCCCAAATCCAGGAAATTTCCCGGGAATTCTCGGCCAATTCCCGGGAAATTCCCGGATTCCCGGATTTTACAAATTCTATGTTTTGTTAACAAAAATTGAAACTTATGTTGTGTTTTTAGTTCTTCCCCCAAAAAATGTTCAACTTTGTGAAAGGTTTGTTGGAGTATCCAAGTTCTATGGCGCATAATGTTCATCCTATTGAAACATGCAGGTGATTGCTCCGAACTCCAACCCTTCCCAACTCCAATCGCTGGTCATGGCCATGACCCACATGAATTGGGCAGCGATCTATAGTGCTCTCATGAGCGCAAAGCCCGCACGATCGGCAGCAGGTCAGCATCCTCAGCCCACTTCGAATCCTGCGGCAGAATGGAACCCCAGCTGGGCCGACTTGGGGGCAGGGGGACAATCTGGAGTTGTGGATGCTCATGGACTCATGGAACCAACATGTATGAAATGTAGTCAGAAGTAGATCTTGATTTGTTCAGTCCTTCATAGTCTTCATGGGCTCGGAAAGCTCGCTGAGCTGTTTCCTCGGGCGTTCGTGCGGGGAAGTTGCAAACAGACCTCACCAGACTGAATGATAAGGCATGTTGTGCGCTGGAACGGGCGGACCTTACATCCATACGTAATGTTTTTAATGAGATGATGGGAAGGCCACACATATCCTAACACAATTCAAGCCAAGTGGCGCTCTTTTCTTCACTTCCCCTTTGATGGTCGATACGTGGCGGTCATAAAGCTGGGCAACAGCATGGCCGAATAACTTGGGGTAGTACTGAGATGCCTTGAGGTCGGCTCCTCCACATACCCTCTGGCATCCTTGTTGGTCCACATACCTGAGTAGAAGTTGAACGAAGGTTCATGCCAAAGGTTCATTCCACATGGTTGAGTAGTTCCATTCCAAAGTTTCATTCCGCATGCTTGAGGTCTATTCGAAAGCCATGCCACTTGTTTGCCATTGCAGCTGGCCACTCGACGTCTTTGGGAAGTGGCAAGTACAGCTCCAGCACAAATCGATAGTTGCTGTACAGGATGGTGGGCTTGGGGCCTGGAGACCGCCCCAGAAGACACCCAACTCCAACCACAAGCAATTTCAGAAAGCTGGAGACTGCCAGTCTTGGTGATACAAGTGAAGACACTCAAAAATGAACCCCCACTGCCCCGGTGCTTTTTCGAGGACTTGTCGCGTGTAAATGTGCTGCTTAGTCACTTCCACCGCCATACGAGCCAATCCAGCAGAATGCCTACTGCGCAAGACTTGAAGTGAAGTTTTGGACATGTTTGGACTGTAGTTCCTAGGAACCTTATTTCTCAACTTTGAGTGAAATGGAAGTTCAACAAATTGAGGCAAGGTGCCCGGTAGACGGTGTATCGCTTGCAAAGCCGCTGGAAGTATGGGTGCCACTCGAAAAGGGAGCTGCCAGGCTGCTCCACAATCCATGGGACTTCAAGTTCTTGGCACATCATGAGGCATATGCATAGCCGGGTGACCATCGTGTTCCTCAGATAGTCACAAAAAGAGACTATACTGATATAGCAATCTCCAGATATAGATAGGAAAGCAGTCTTTTCTTGTAACAACTATGCTGGAAGGGATGATGTTTGCAAGACCTACTGTAGCTTAAGGGCTTGGAGACGGGGGGTCACACTCGACTCGAGGGCGATTGTTTGCTGGCATTTCTTGAGGTTGGCAAATTGGCTTCCTGGCCACATCGCCTGGAGCCTCAAGGATTGGAATGGTTCAATTGTGGTAAGCACCACAAAGCTAAGCTAAACCTGAAGGTTGGCGCACATCACGTGATCAGCGTAGGATCTTTTTTCCAGAACATATATGTTAAACACTGGCTGCTTGTGTTGATGCACCATCCTTCATGAACCCCGGAAGTGACTGGAATTCTCATCAGTCACCGTCCCCTGAAGATCCCACATCGACCTTCATGATCTTGGCGATTTTCTCCCAAGTGCCCTTGATATCCTTGCAGAAGGAAGTCCTTGGTCAAAGGTGTCCAGATCAAAGTTGTTGCGACACCTTTGTTATAGAGGTTGATGGAACCTAGATATGATAATAGTTGATAAGCTCGGACTATATAGGAATACGCATGAACATGATAATAGTTGATAAGCTTGAACTATATAGCCACCGGACTGCGATGATTTGTATGTCTCTTCGTTTTCAATTATTGAAGCCAAGAGTCGATCGACCATCTTCACCGGTCAACTTCTTTCCATCCACATCAGATTTAGGTTTGAAGGCTTGCTGTCTCAGAAGCACTTCCACCCTGGCATCACCCATCCACCTTGGAGGAAGTCTGAGCTCGGCTGAGACGTTGAGAGACCACAAATAAATAGGGCCAACTAGTTGACAGTTGGCCCTATTTTTTTTGGTGCCCCTCCACCTTCTTTGGGCTACCACCGGTTCAAGTCCCCACATCAACAAACACGTAGGAGGCCCTAACCTTAATGAACAAACTCCTATACATACAGCACGACTCTCGAGCAACACTTAGTGGATGGCAAGTCACACTGTGTAGCTGTGTTGGCCATGTTTGCTACTCGTAGGCCACACGCACGTCGGCAATGATTTGATAATGTTCTGGTACCCTTCATCAAAGCTGGCCAAAATGTCAGCCATTTGGTCTGCCCGGTCGGCATGAACAGGCTCCTCCAGTTCCTGGCGGGCCTTCTTTGCTGTCTTCTTAGAAGAGGACTGCCTCGACGAATCCGACTTACGCTTGGGCTTGGACCGCTTGGACTTGGATCTGGACTTGGTTCTGGACTTGTTTCTGTCAGGCGCAGCCCAACAAACTGGCGCAGGGTCCAACTTGGAGAAAGCCTCCTCAAAGCCCTCTGGGTCCTACAGGGGCAAGTACAAAGTAGTTTTCTATGAGAAGGCAAACAATTGTTTTCTATGAGAAGGCAAAAAATTGTTTTCTATGAGAAGGCCTAATAACCCCTTCGCAACACCTCTCCTCCATGCTCATGTTCTTAGGAGCTTTCCCCTCCACTTCAACTTCATTGGGCCCAATAGGTTCCTTCTCACTGGGGGGGGCTCTCACCAGCATCAACTGGTTCAGGCTCTTGCGTAGAATCTGAAAGAGCATCCGCAGTAGCACCTGGGCTAGTTTGGTTGCTCTGCTCTGATGGCCAAATCCCACTGCTGCAGTCGCTCCCCGAGTGCGCAGCCACCTGGAGGGACCAACCATGATGGTTGAAAGGCAAAGGGACCATCATGGACTATCCCTCTCAAAGACAGGTGTTTAGAGTCACCCCTAGGTGCTCAGAGACAAACCCCTTTTAAAGCTTTAGAACCATTTGCCTGCACATCACCAAGTTCCGGAACCGGTTGAGACAAGGGTGGCTCAGATCCGTCAAAGTCCGGAACACTGATCTCGCCCATGAAATTCTCTGGGATACCATCAGTCGAAGAGCTGTCATCACTATTGTCACCCAACACATCGGTCTCAGCCTCCAACTCGATAGGGTTAGGTTCAGAACGCTTGTGTCTCCCCGCTCCCGACGAAGCAGCACTGTTCCTCATCTTGTCCTTCAGGAGTTGCACCCAGGATGTGCGAGAAGAATGCTTGCTGTTCTGCCAAAGCCTAGGCGCGCCCACGAAACACATGGTTGATTGATACGGTTGGTTGTTTCCATCACATGCTCATGAAACGACCCTGCGCCTTCGCAGCCCAGACCACATTTTTTGAATCTTCTTGACGTTGTACTTCATCATCTCCGAAAAGTCCTTGGGCGGAAGATACCCCACAACATAGTCAGGGCCTGCTCAACCTTTGTAGGTAATTGATGCTGTGCCTATGAAGTTCTCATGTCAAGGTGTGTTTCTTCATTATCAGTTGCTGCCGATGTGCCAATTCATCAGTGCCACGGATAGCGAGGTTCTGCAGCGCAAAACAAGCACTGTGGCAATGGTAGTTGTTATTGTCATTGTTATCAAACAAACTCTCCACTGATTCAAAAACAACCTTTTGTAAGCTCCTGGAACTGACCATTGAAAGCGTCCAGAACAATCTCCAGCTCTGTTTGGGATGGCTTTCGGGCACAAAACTCATCCATCATCAAAATGGAGTGGATAGCCCAGTAGTTCCGGATCCTCATGAACACAACCCATGTTTGCAAATAGACCCTGCTATAATTGGTCTTGTATGGTCTTGTTATTGCAGCTTTCCGGTGCACTTCACACAAGCATTGTTACACAGTGCAGCCTGGTTGCAATTGACGCTCCTTCGTCGTGCGCACAAATCTCCCGGTCAAGAGGTCAGATGTTGGCTCCACACCCATCGGAGTGATGGCTTCTTGTTTGATGCGGTCAGGGACGGCTTTGGACATCTCTATCCCCAAACATTGAAGGGCTCGAACAAAGGTTTC